AGAGGTGAGCGAACCTGGTATGTGTTCGCTCACCTCCCGATCTACTGAGCCGACCTGTGACAGTCTCATTGTCACAGGTCGGCTAGAACTATGAGGTGAGTGGAAATCACTCATCTCATAGTTCTCCTTTAAGTCTAGGGGTAGAGGAATAAGTTGTAATATTTATTCCTCACTGTGACCATCTCCCTTCATCTGTACGACCGGCATTCAAAACCTCTACTATACAGCGCTCAGGTCGGCAGTCACTTGCTGATGTCATCATATACAATACCCGCTCGTTGTTCTTGAGGACTGTAAGATCCTCCCAACAAACCGGAGTCTTGTAGACAAGAGAACACCTAAAGCCTCTGTGAAAATTAAAGTATTAGACCTTGTTCCTCTACCCCACACTGCCGCTGGCTCCTAGGCGATCTGCAATGTGTCCCCAAAGTGACGGTTTGAGAGAACGGATCCTGAGGGCAGGGCAGCGATCGACTGCTGTACCTGCCTGGCAAGACAGTGTGAGGAGGTGGGAACTTGAGTGGTCTGTGTGCCAGTAGATGCACACAGTACAGCTCAATTATCGGTCGGGGGACACTCATGGGGTTCTCCTTTGCAACCTGCTAGGCAAAGGAGACACCCGTAAACAGGAGGGCAGCGGCCGCAGTACATAAAGTAAAAAAAAAAATGACATAGGAAGAAAAGGGAAAAATAAAAAGCTACACAGGTACAAGTGGATCTCCTCCTGGAGAATTAAAAAAAAAAGTTGGTTTTAATATCACTTTAAATCTTATTTTTGTTACTTTTTACCTAAGCTAATGAAGCTGCCTAATTATGCACACCTCACTATTGGGTTTGAAACACTAAGGCTGGGCACACATGTTACAACCATCGCAAGACTTTTGTCTTGCGATGGTTGTAAGGTACTTAAAAAAACGTACGATCTGCCTATCTTGCATAGGCAGATCGTACTTGCGATGATCGCAAGCCACGCCCCCTGAGGGGCGGGCTTCCGATGACCGCAATGCCGAACGGGCAGTGTGCGCTTGCGCACACCGGCCTGTACGGCTGTTATCGTACGGACATGCCACAAACCCGCCGAACATCGTACGATGCTCGGCGGGTTTTCGAACATGTCCGTAAGTTTAAAGTCGTGCGACCTTACAGTAGTAGAGGTCGCACGGCTTCCACACACCTTACGATAATCATACGATCGCGGGATTTCCCGCGATTATCGTAAGGTGTGTGTGGGGACCCTAAGCCATATTCCCACTCAAAAAAGTATAACTGGGTTTAAACCTGTAAAATGTGTATAGCAATAAAAAGGTCAGAATTCTGACTAATTGTGACATGCTATACCACATTGCCAACCCCACACACATTATACCGCAGAAGTTTACAAAGTTCCCATTTATCAGTTGTAGGTGCTCTTCCATTGTTGTTCATGAATTGTAAAACATATTTAATCATTTCAGGACCATAGGACATTTATGTTCTAATCTTGAAGTGGTTATACCAAGATCATGGCGGCGGCTGCTGCTGCGGCCATGATCTTGGTGTAATTGTTCTTAAGACCAGGTGGAGGGCTTTTGAGTACAAATGATCTGAGTGGCATGTGTGCTTAATCATTTGCATTGGAGGGCAGGGGAGACATCAGACCCATGATTTCTCCAGAAAAAAAACCTGTCACCTCTCAGTGCTATCACATAGGGGCTGTTAAGCATCACCTATGGATAATTTTGAATAACCTGGTTTTCCACCATTGTACGAGCATTCACAATTTTAAGGTTTGGCTTGCTTGGTATATTTTTACTTGACCCAATTTCTTCTATTGTATTGTCAGGAATGTGGAACTCCAATTGCCTGATGGCCCGTAACATGCAGTGCCGGGCAGGTAGTTTTTTTCTTTTGTTTTTTTTTTCTCCTACATTTGCAGCCCTGCTTTGGGCAAGCAGCAGGGCTAAATGTAGAGATACTTTTGTACAAATGATCTCAAGTGGCTGTACAGCCGCTCAAGATCACTTGAACGTAGCCTGATTGTCACTCCCCCTCCCCATACACTGCATCTCTCCCCGGCCGTCGTCTCGGTCACCACCTGCTGGCTCCCACCCAGTTGTGGTCCTTGGTGTCCCCCGCTCTTCTGGGGGACGCGGCACCACGGCAAATTAGATCATATTGGAGAGTGGAGAACGACCATTCTCCGCTCTGCTTTGTGTAAACACTGAGACGGGAGAGCTGCACTCCCAGGCTTCCTACCTCAGCTGTCACAGGAGATCCAGCACAGTGCTGTGCTAGAACTCCTGTATTGGAGGTGACCGGTTCAATAAAGAGAACCTGTCACCTCCGAATGCTATCACATGAGCTTGTTAGCTCCTGTGTGATGGCAATAAAGTTAAGTGAAAAAATTAAAAATTTAAAAATATAAAGTTACTAGTGATAAAGTAAAAAAAAAATGTATAAAGTTAAAAGAAAAGATACACATTTTAAAAAGTAAAAAAAAATAAAGCAAATAAAAATTTTAAAAATTAAAACCAACCCCACTGCCTTGCTATCTGCATGCGAATTTACTTGTTCGTATGGCACTGTGTGCCATATTGTGGTAGCTGGTTAGCAGCGCCCTCTAACACACACATTAGGGTAAGTTCACTTTACCAAGACGTCCGCTAGTACGGGTGCACTATCTGTACCCCATATTGCCATCCAGTGCTACCCTGTGCCATGTGTTCTGAATTTCACTTGCAAATTAGCACTGTTAAATACAGTTTTTTTGATTAAGCTTATTTTTTGTATGACAAGTACGTAGATTGTCGTGGGGGCAAGCAGATTGGGCCCCGACTTTAGTCCTTGGACGTGTGTTTGTTCACATTTATTGAAGTGTAGTCCTCCTAAGAATATTGGTTTGATAAACATTTGTGCAAATATCATGCAACATGGGCCTATGCCTTCCAATATGTTTGTTTGGGGAGTACATTTTCTATCTAAAAATTCAGATTTTAATGTGTGAAAAATGAGAAAATTGCTCCAGTACTAAGGTGGTTAAAGAGCAAATGTATTTGTATCAGCTTGAGGTACAGGTTGGTCCTGGAGTTGCGAAGATGCGGCAGTGTGATGTGCAGCGTAACAAAGTTGGAACTGGAGGAAAAGAGAATGACTTAAAAGTCTGGGATTTGGAAAGAGCAGAGGAGCCCATCTTCAGAGCCAAAAATGTAAGTGGGTTAATATGTTCTATGATAAACAGCTGTAAAACTATCCAGATGTAGAATGTTTACAATGTATTAAAGTCTCAGGCTAGGTTCACACCTAGGCGATTTATAGGGCAAAACACAGATTCGAATTGAAGTCAATGGAGGCTGTTCACACCTTTTGCGGTTTGTCACGTGGACGAAATTGCCTGTTGCGAAAAAAGGCGCAGGAGCTATTTTCGAGCGGTTGTTGTGCGGTTTGGGTCCCATAGACATCTCAATGCATTGACAACCGTGCGGTTTTCATAGAACAGTCGTGCAAACAAAAATGCGCGGAAACAGCTCAGTCGCATAGGTGTGAATCTAGCCTCAGATACCTTCTGCTTATATGAATTGCAGTAAATACAGATTACAAACAATGATGGTTAAATTATGCCTACCACAATGCCTGCTTAACTGTTAAAACAGGTGACCTAAGCATCTGTGTTTGAACATCAGGCAGCCATAATTGCGTCGATGGCATCAGTTTGAAAAATAGTTAATTTCTAGGTACATTCTTGCTTGCAGCCCTTTAGCACTTAGGCCCTATTCACATTCATGTGTTGTGGTAATGCACCTTACATGTATGTTGTGGCACTGTTAATTTCCAATAACATGCTAAAGGAATGCATTGCAGCATGCATTGCTAAAAATGGTGCATGTCCATTCTGCTGCCTTGGCAGCCCAGTCAAATGAATGGTCCCCCTTAGTCATATTTAATATAATATAAATGTAGCTATTTTAAATGCTGATTAAGTCACTTACAATGGACGCTGTTTCTTGATGTTTAAAGGCTTTAACTTCCTACTGAACCAGCTGGTTCCCTGAGTACTGACTCTGATATCCTGTTTTATGGTGGCTCCTTTCCTATGAAGCCACCCTTGTGTGTCTCCACTGGTGATGAGCCCTGGGCTTGGTGCAAACCCAGTTCACCTGAGTTTGCCCAAGCCCACTCATTGTTACAAACCACCCTCCCCCTGCACGCCCCCCAATCAGTTGAGGAGAGGCACATTTACCGCCCTGCAACTATACATCACAAAGGAGTGCGGAATGCTCCCATCGCCACTGATTGAGATAGGAGGGGGGAGTGGCATTCACAGTTTTGAGTGGACTTGTTGAGAACCCAGTTTGCCTGAGATCACCCAAGTCAAGGCTGGCCCCTAGTCTTCACAAACACGGGCACAGCAAGGCAAGCCTCTCTCTCTCTGCTCCCCACTCCTCTCTTCAAGCTAGTAGATGGACACCTGCTGGAGATGGCTCTGTCCCCATGTGATCTTGTTCTGGACAGGAAGCTTAGGGAAGCTGAGCCAAGTGTTCAGAAATGTGATAATTAAGTGCATGGGCGACAGGTTAAAGAAAAACTTTACTGAGCAATGTACATTTATTAGATCTGTATTCATTATTAAAAAAAATGAATACTACTTTAACATGTAGGTCGTTGGGGGAGCCCTCCGCACACCTCACAGCAGTCCCGGCCAGATAAGAGAATATGGTGCTCGCAGTGATATTAGTTCACGGATGGTGCCGTGCAGACATAGAACAAGCAGGGAATCACCAGCACTCAATAATGTAAGCAAAATATGTCCCTTTTAATGGACAGAAGCGTCATAGAATTCTATAGATTCTTTTTTTGAATTCTATGACGCTTCTGTCCATTTAAAGGGACATATTTTGCTTACATTATTGAGTGCTGGTGATTCCCTGCTTGTTCTACTACTTTAACATGACACAGGTTAAAGTGTGAAATAACATGCTTGCTTTAACAGAACAGAAAGGTGTATACGGGCTCTCAATCAGTGGGTGGCTGGGGAAACTTGAGGCTACACTGGTTGAAGCAACAAGCCAGGCAATGTGGGGACATTGCCTCAGTAGACCTATTTTTGCAGGTCGCACTGGACCGGAATGCAGGCACTAATGTGCCTGAGTTCCGGGTGCGGCTGATAGCACCGTAGGCGGGGGGCATGACTCCGGTGCCATTGACTTCAATACAACCCCACACCCCCTCCGGCCCCTGACTGCAGGGAGTCGGCCGGCTAGCATTTTTTTATTTAATGCAATATTCTTATGAACATAGAAGTTTGCCCTGCAAACATTCAAATATCGCATTATATTTATTTTAGCTGAGGAATGATTGGCTAGATCTCCGTGTACCTGTGTGGATTCGTGACCTGGATTTCATCCCAGAGACAGACAAAATAGTCACCTGTACAAGCTATCATCAAGTAAGTGTTAAACCTCTCAGATTCTATTATCTCAGACTCACTGTGCTTTTTTTGACAGCATAGGGATCTTTTGAAAGGGCTATTTAACTAGGTTTTCCAAAGGTCTTTACTCGAAAGCCCCTTCTAACCAAAGTAAGATATTACCCTTTTGGCTTAAAGCAAACCTCCAACCCTGGATATGACTAACAGCCTTAATACATTTAGGAAATGATAGGTGGAAAAATTTGTCACAAAATTTTGGGGTTTAATAAGGAGTTGCGCTAATATTGCGCAACATAAAAATTTTCAACTACCACCATTTTATTCTATAGGGTCTTGGCATTCAGAAAATATATAATGTTGGGGGGTTTTACGTTTTTCAGGCCTAAAATGTAGAATATAACATGGGTGCAAAAATTGAAAAAAGGGCCTCAGTCATGAAGGGGTTAATCTGATCGGTATCATTGGGCCAGGAGTTAAGGGGACAGGTAATGATCTGCAGATGTTGAGAAAACAATGCAAGGTGGCTCCTATACGTTGAGGCTCATATATGACTTTGGAGATGGACTGTGGGGAGATCCACAGAACACACGCATACATTGTGCGACTGTCTTAGCCAGAAGGGAAATGTTCAAAGCATAAGATTTCATGAGCATGTATATTCTTACATAAAGCTCAGTGGACTTTGTGCATTTCTTCTAGATCTGTGCTGTAATATATCATAAAATATCTTCAGCACGTTTTTTTTGTGTGCGCAGACGTTACTACTGGTAAAGACTGGTCACTGCTGCTCTTCTGATTGTGCAGGTTTGCTGGTAGTGGATTGGCCTGCCGGATCCCTCTCACAGCTCTGCTCTCCGCATGTTGTATGTACAGCACAGTGATATTGTCACCACTAACTGTACAAGGCAGTGTCTAAGTATGAAAAGGCATTTGATGCACGTTCTTTGTGGCTATTAAGAAATGTTTTTTAAATGATTTGTTCCCAGAGTTAAGGGTTAATTGGGTACACCTTTTTGCCAGATGATTCTGTTGTGTTCTGGCTTCTAGGGTTGACAGGTGTGGGATTTTACTTTCTGCTGTCAGCCATCAAATTTGCAGTAATAACACTGCTGCTGGGTTTTGCTTGGAATGCTGCGAGTTGGCAACTATCCACACCTTTAGTGGCTAGACATGCAAGGTTTATAACCGAGCCCTGCCAGAAAATGCCCCTCTGTGATTGTGTCAGCCAAGCAATACTAGTCTGGGTTCTAAAATAAATATAACAGGAGCCTGGCATTTGTACCTGCTTGCTTAAGTAAAAATACATTTAGCTGGGTGTTTAGCCATTCTGTCCATCCCAAAATTCAGGAGTATGACCTAAAGCGCCAATCAATCAGTCACCACTGTCATAGTACTTAGAAGAAAGTATTTGCAGCACAGTGACGGTGTTTAGATTAGCTAGAGCCTTTCCAGCATATCGTATATTGATATTAGTAGTTATTAACCCTTTCGCTGCCAAGGACGTATGGCATACGGACCTACAAAAGTGCTTCCAGCTGGCCAGGTCAGTATGCCATACGGACCTGGCATTTACAGTTCTACTATAAGCTGATGGTCGCTTTAGCGACCATCAGCTTATAGTATAACTGTTCAGCAGACTGTCCCCTTTAAATTAATAGCTGTCATCAGCGGCTCAGAAGCCGCTGATGACCGCTATTATCAAAAATACCGGGCTCCCCCCCCCGCCGGCATCTGGAGTCTCTCATCCACAAATCAATAGGAAAAAATTGCAGAAAATTAAAAAATGGCTTGGCCAGCTGATTTGAAAAATGTTCCGGAGGGCTTGGCAGCGAAAGGGTTAAAGCTAGTGTAAGTAACAATTTAGCTAAACCCTTAGACTTGAAAAATACATAAGGCACGTAGAAGCCATGTTTCACAGCAAGGAAGAAACAATATTGTTTTCACAAAGTGTATGTCAAACCAAAAACATATATTTTCAAGTTTTGAATAAAGTGGGGAAGGATTAGAACTCGTCAGTTTTTTATTGCTATCTGGGGCTCCATTAGAGTGTCACTCTGACTTCCTGTCCTAATAACAGTTTCACCGGACAGGAGGTAAAGAAAGAAAGTCAGCAGCTCTCGGAATGTGTTAGCAATCAAACTCCTATAAGGTTTTGTACTGCATGCCATCATATCCTTCTAACTGCTTTTGTGGATGCTCGGAGCCTGGTACTATGTTTCATATCTGGTGGAGCTACCCTCCCACGTCGAAGTTATGGATTAGAGCAGGGGTAGCAAACCTCCAGCTGTGGCCCTCCAGCTGTGGTGGAACTACAAATCCCATGAGGCATTGCAAGATTCTCACAGCCACAGACATGACCTTCCGAAGAGATGCATCGTGGGATTTGTAGTTTCACCACAGCTGGAGGGCCGGAGGTTTGCTTCCCCTGGATTAGAGTTTATAATCTGAATCGAGTCTGTCAATACACACGGGGCAGAGCGGCGGGATCGGAGATGACAGACTGCAGCAGGGAAGAGAAAGGCAGTTGGGGTATGTGTGTGTTTGTGGGGGGGGGTTGAATTGGCTGAGCAGAGTTGTGATGGCGGACAGGGGGAGGAGCAGCTATGCAATGGGTAGAGTTGCGATGGCGGGGGGGACCGGCTGAGCACCGGGCAGAGGTGCGGCAGGCTTAATCAACTAATCGATAATGAGAATCACTGACAACGGTTCTCATTATCTCGATTTTAGCGATTAGTTTTTGAAGCCCTAACTCCGACCTTGCACTTTGAGATTGTCAAGAACCGTCTCAATAATGTTTTGGTCAATCAAAAGCTGACGGCACTGTTGTCGGAAACTCATAACCATTTCTTGGCAACCATGGATTCACTACTCCAGGCCACCTCTTTTTGTTTTGATTTGCTATCTGTGTGAGGCTCTTATGCTCCTGTTCTTTTCTCTTCCTTTTTTTCATTGCTTTTCTTTAGTCTTTTTGCTTTCTTACTTTCCCTCTTGAGTCTTTTCTTCTCTTTTATTCATTGTCTTTCACTTTTCTTTCTCTTGAATTCCTTCTCCCCTGGCATTTGCCGTACTGACTGTTTTGTGCCATATTTCTTATGTTGTATTCTGATTGTGTGTACTTTTAAGCATCTAACCTTTTCATTTTGCTTTTATGGTGATTCCTGTTGTGTCTTGTGCTTCTCTATTTTATATTGGCGTCCTTATCCCCTTGGTGGTTGACCGCAGTGGAATGTTCTCCATATGCTGTTTTGTATTGCTTTGCGCAGTGTTTCTTTCAAATCCTTGCTCTGTGATTGTGATTATCTGTACCCGTGTTTAAAAAACCTGTAATAAAACTATTGCGGAATAAAAATCTGTCGGCGGTTCTATCCTTCCCTAGCTTTACTTAAGAAAAGCATTTTTCTCTGCATTGACAATGTCAGCAGAACAGGATGTAAGGGGAAATCTCTCCAATGGAGCTCTGGATAGCAAAAAAACTTAACGGATTCCAAACGTTACCTACTCTATCCAAAACTAGAAAAGTTTTTTTGACATGAAATCATTTCTTGATAGTGATGTGCAGTAATCATATATATGGGTAAGATGACACACACCAAAGTGGGTGTTTGGTGCATTTTTTCAGTCCCTGCCCAACCACCCCCCTTCCCCTGCCAAACGTCACCAAGTCTGAAAGGGTATACTGAAACAAATGGCCCAGCACACATTTCTTGTTTGTCATGCAGTGGACATATTGACCCGGACTTTCCATGGAGTGTTTGAGCTGTGCTAGGCCATTCACTTCAATGGCTTCCCCTAACTAGAAGAGGGATAGTAGAATGCGTCAAGCAGGGCTGAAACTATGTGGGTGCTCCCCCTTTTGTATGTAGCCTAATGAAGGTACATTTATCTGATTTGCAAACAATTTTTGCCTCCTACCACAAAAACAATATTTTCTGTTCTACACTGCAAGCTGGTCAGAGCAAGACTAGAGCTTCCCTAAACAGTGCTTTTACTGATGATTTCTTCTCTAGGTTAGAGTTTATGACCCCAATACTCCACAAAGACGACCAGTTCTGGAAGCTTTATTTGGTGAGGATCCACTGACCGCACTGAGCATTACTCCAGATGGCAGGTATTTTAGTTTCTTTTACTAGCCCTTTATTTCTCTGCAGCAAATTATTCCTATATGACAATGATGTAAAAAAGACAGCAACGCTCTGTGTGTGGCCTTATAGCTTATTGCACTGTAAGTTAGAAAATGAAGGAAGAATGTGAATTCTCAAAAAAAAGGGACAGTTATGCATGTACTTGTATTTGACCTGTTTAATGTATCTATGTAGTTCAATTAATCTTTAGGTTTGACAGAAAAGTATTTGACTGCATTGCTGTGAATCACTGGGATAAAACTTCTTGTGAATAAAAAACAATTCCTTCAGAACTGAAATGGCTCACGTTTCGGTAGTTACTGGCACTTGCTTTTCTCACTGACTTTCTATATTTCTTAGAAAGTGAGAGATTTTCCCAATCCTGGCTGCTCAACAGTCTCACTCTTCTTGTTGCAGGAATAACTGCCTCAATCTTACTGTTTTTATAATCATGTTAAAAAAAAAAAACTGACATGGATAGCTAGTAGTAGCCAGTCACATTCAACTGGACTTGATCTGTAATGTTGACCTGTAGAATTTGCCTTCCTCCTTGGAATGGCAGCCAAAAGCAGATACTGCTCTATGTGGGTAGATTTCCTCTGTTTCTCGATGTCCAAGTAACCAAATTTTATGAGAAAAAGTTTATAGACTGTTTCCTAGAAGAAAATGTAAAAGCCATTGTACATTGGGGTAAAGCAACCTCTAAACAAATGTATGGCCCAAACATAGGAGGACATATTCTACAGGTTTTCTACTCTGTAGTTTCCCTACACCCTGAGGAAAAGGAAAATTCTTTCAAGGTTAGTGAACATTTTTGACACAGACAACTGGTCTGCAAGAGGCATGAAAGAGGCCATCTATGTCAAACTGGGACAGCTATCCCTAGTAGGGGTGTGGGCCTTCAACAACTGTCTTCCACACATTATGCCTCTTTCCCCAGCAATTTGACAACACTTCACACCTTTTAGCCATGTTAAGGTGGTAGTAAACCATTGTGAGATAGGTATATTTTTGTCATAACGTGCAAGTATGTCCCCCTCCCCACCACTACTGGGTTATCAGGCATACTCTTTGTTGCTGTGAGTTGCTGTGAATGAGCAGAGTGTGTACAGTGCACACAGAAAATAAAAATTAACTAGGAGAGAGGTATTTATTTTTTAACTTCCACCTTAAGGGCTCCTTCACACGTGTTGAAAATTTACCGCACAATCAACGCGCCTATAGCGTTAAGGCATTCGGCAGGCGTCAAAATGCTTGGAAAATGCCCTACCCCCAAAAATTATAAAATTATTATAAAAAAGTGTAAACAAACTAAAAATTAAAACGGGATGGGGCCCCCCTCCCGATCCATACCAGACTCTTTAGGTCTGGTCAGAAAGTTAGGAGGGCTATAAATGTAGGGTATGTTCCTATGAATCCTTATAACTGAAGAAGTGGCTTGAATAAGCTACAAAAATGTTTTCATTGTTACAGAACTAGTCCAGTTAAATGTGACTACTACTAGCTGTACCATGACCTGGATGAATGAGAATCTTCAGACAGCTGACAGGGATAGTGCAACATGCCACCAACTTCACTGACCCTTTAATTTGCTGTATTTTAATTTTAAACTCTTTACTTTCATATACAGGTCCGTAGTGGTTGGAAATTCTCATGGTAACATGGGGGTAATTGACTTGAGGAAAGGTAAGGATTTTTTAAAGAATAAGTGTACTCTCTTAATACCATGGCTCCTTCAAGATATCAAGGCAAATAAATTGCCAGCTTTTTCTACTGTTTCCTGGGAGCTCTGCCAGAAACCTCAACTGTCCAGCCAGTTCAGATTTCCTGTCCAATGGATGTGGAACAAAATACATTCCTCTATATATGCATGCTTCAGCTCCTGAGTCTCCTGTCTGTAGTCATGACTGGTGAGCAAGCAGATTAAAAAAAATATCCAGAGCTGTTCCCCACATACAACAGGAATGCAAGCTCTTTCTCTCCATCCCGTCTCTGAATTTTCCCCCGATTTAACTGCACAGTGCAGTGGAGACCATATAATTGTGTTATGATTATAAGCTGCAGAAAAAGGTTTGATGGGTATGAGGAACAAAAAGAGTTAAAAAAATGTTTTTTCATAAGGTGCATGCATCTATTGTCAGTAATGTCCCTTTGTTGAATGATTGTGTATTTTTCTACTCTTAGGTAAGCTCTTATGTGCCCTGAAGGGCAGTGCTGGTTCTGTGCGCTCCATCCAGTGTCACAAGTCTATGCCTGTTGTTGCTTCCTGTGGCCTAGATAGGTTTATGCGGCTCCATAGCCTCAATGACAAGAAACTTCTACACAAGGTAAGTATCGGAGGTTTTATGACAAAAGATGGTCAGCAGTGGCAGACCTATATTGCTATTATAAAAGGTGTGCATTAGCAGAAATGTGCAAAGAGAAATATGGCAGAAATGCCACAACAGTCATGCAGCTAGCGTTTTAGAAGCAGGGCTCACCAGTGGTACCGTTTGTTTATTAGTGTATTGCAATGTCAGCACTGCAGTATAGTTCCTGAGACCTGTCACCTGTTTACAATAAGTTGGATACTTTACTGCAAGAATAGCAGACGTGCAGCCAACAAAGTTTTTTGTATGTGGCTAGGAAGGAATGAAAGATGTCTTTTAGAAGAGCATTAAGAATTATAAAATATTTTACGAGCTTATCAAATCTTTTATTTTGGATTAATTCACAAAGTTACTACACATTTATTTTTCTAAATCCTTATCTTAAATCGCAACTAGTTACTATTTTGTGCTCTACACAATTGTTATAGCAAATTTTAGGTTGAGTTTCATGCTTCATTTCATCCACTTGGAGCTTTCTCACTTTTTGCCTGTTGGCATCATTACAGTGTTCAGCTACATTAATACCTCCTGTGTGTTGCAGTTGAAGTGTGTTATGTTTTAGGTGAATTCTAATTGCATTATTTTGATTCCCTATAGATGTCTTGCAGGGAACTGCACCAAAGGTGTAGAATGCACAACACCAAACCAAATTCACATCTCTGCCTTTTTGTGCAATGCATATAAAATTATCTCCTTCCTAAATTTTCTATAGGAATGAATGTTAATGTATATAAAAAGGCCTGAAACACATCTAAAATTGTGTTTGTAATGCATGAAAACTGCATAGAAGTAATTGTTGCCTTAGGTTTAACATTGCCTTTTGATGATGGATACATCCTTGTAATGTTATACAAAGGAAAGCTGCTGTTTTTCATAATAAATGGAATCCCAGTTAAGCTTTTTTTTTTTGTTTCCCCCAGGATAAGTAAATACAGTGAAATGTATGATAGTACAGAGGCTGTCTTGTACTTATCTGACTAGCATGGATTTTCTTTCTTTTGTGTCCCAACAGGTGTACCTAAAGTCACGGTTAAATTGCCTCCTGTTGACATCACATGATAAGTGGGAGGTAAGCTTGAAGCGTGCTGCCAAGGCCTACAATGGCTTTTATTAAAGACTAGCAAAACTGTGACTGTTTCAGAACAGGAATGTTTTTGCTTGTGGTCAGGGTGGCCAGGGAGAGAGGCAATGTAGACAGGAGTGTGTTGGTCGAGAAGAGATTCACCGTAAGTAGGGGTGGGGTGACCAGGGAGGGAATTGCTATGAGGCGGGTAAATGCAGTGCAAGTTGAGGCGGGATATGTAGTGTAAACGATAGTGAGCTGGTTATGAAGGGATATGGTGTAAAGAACGGGTGAGTTGACCGGGGAGGCAAGCAGTGTGAGTAGAGAGGGGTGATAGAGTGAGGTTGCTGGGAATGAAGGTGTGCACTGTGAGCAAAGTGTAAGGTAGCTAGAGAGGGATATGTAAAGAGTTGGGAGGTTATGTTGCTGGTAAAGGATGCAGCATGCACAAGGATGATGTGGCATGGGTTGAGGTGGCTGAGGAAACATGAGCAGGAGGTGAGGTGGCCCAGGCAGTGATGGAGTGCGAGCAGGATTGAGCTTTTATATTAATGATTTTCTTAAATCCCATGTGATAGTACACCACGTACTGGAGATCAATCTCTTATGGTGTACTTTGACATGTATTCTTATTTTACATGCATGTATAGTTTGAATGACATTGAATTGATCGTGAAATCTCCTTAACACCTTGGTTGATCTTCCCCACATAATAGTGGGGTATTTATATTTTTCTTGGATATGATTTTATTGTTGCCCTTGTCTATCACCATGGAAACGGAAAGTGATGGAGAGACCAAACATTTACAGTTGTTACCAAAACATGTGTTTCTATTGAGATTTCCCCTCATCTTCTGGTGACGACAAAATGGGATTTCCTCTTACCACCTGTTACATTTCTGGGACAAAAAGTGAAAGGATATCTCCCCAACAAGACAGACATCAAAAATTAAAATCCCTTCTCAATCCAAAACTTTAAACCGTTTTGGCTATACATACATTTTAACCTAAAGGCTTTTACAGAGTCATGATTTTGGCACTTGCATGCAGCTGTTTCTGGCTTAATGGTATAAAGGGGTGAAACCTCTAAATAATAAATAAATATATCAATCTAGTCGTGTCCACCAGCCGTCACATAAATGTGAATGCTTGGCTGAGCGTTCATGTTCATGCCTTCATAGGGGTAAAATAGTAATGATCAAATTTGTATCCTCTGAGTGTTTAGTCCTCCAGTAAATTTAGGATGGTGATGTCTGCAGTTACCCAAGATGTGGTCATTCACTAATCTGGCTGAAAACCTCCTAGATCTGGTGACTGTTATCCCATATTTACTAAGTGGGGTACTAAAACTCATGGGTACTAAAAAATACTCTGCAGTTTTATGATTTAAAAAAAAAAAAAACTTTTCTGCTGTAATTAAAAAGCTTGCGGCTGGAGAGACTGACCCTATTGCGGATACTAGCGACAATTATGCAAATCAGGAATGTGAGAACTCAAATTACTGAAGCCATTGGATCAATATGACCGTGTAGTAACTAGTATTTCCAGCCGGGGAGGTCAGCAGTGGGTGCTTCATAGGCACCCTGTAAGGATATAAATATGGAAGCTGACTTTTTATAAAGGTGCACATTCCTAGTCTGTAATTTTTACTAAAAAGAAATACATTATATCCGTACACTATAGAGAGAAAGATGCGCAACTGATTCATGGTTTGTACTCTAAATGTTAGAAAGCATTAATAGTATAAATATAGTCCTCTGTTGCCTTGAGTGATGAATAATTTTGGTTTGTTCACCATTGGGTGTTATACCGTGACGTTGAAAAATTCCAGAAAAATAAATACTACCTACAAGAGATCAGTGTTGCAACACAGCACAGTAAATGTAGGTTATGGGTGGGACAAATGCATGCTAATTATACATTAAGTTAATATAATTTGACTCATCAGGAAGAAGAGTTGACTCCACTCCCTACACAAGATGTGAAGGATGAAGAAGATGATGAAGTCTGGGGTAACTTGGAGACTGTGATGGAGAAAAACTCTTCTGAGAAGCAAGGAGGAAAAAGGGAGAGTGCTTTAGAGAATACAAGTGCAAATACTCCTAAAAAGAAGAAAAGGAAGGGAGTATAAATTATTTCAAATGTGGCAAATAGAAAAACATCCTCAAAGACTGCCACTCTTTTTCTTACAAGCAGTGACGAAACAGGACAGCACACTGAACTTATTGAGTTCCATTGAACTTTATTTACCCTTCCTACAGTTTTCTTGCCTCCATATACAATAAGTGGCATGTTTGGACATCAGCTGAATTACACAATCTGAATGGTTTGTTATAGATGAGAAACAAAAATACATTTCTGTATTTGATATTTTACATATGTACATAATTACTAAACTTATTATCTTTTATGGCTAAAAAAATGTAAACATGAACTTTATGAAGTGCTTTTTGGGTGTTTACTGTTAGTGTATGTAAACCCTAACAATGAACTTCCCTTGTTCGGATGCTTATACAGTATTTTTGTATTCACTTCCTGTGGTCTAACTGTTATTTGCTAGCATTGTTTCCAGCTCTCTGTGGGGTATAGAACACCTCCCCCTGTTATGGAGAGAGGGAGGTGTTTGATAGTCCCAAAACAGTTCCTGTTCCAGGGTGATAACACTGCTCCATACGGTATGGTGAGTGAGCGTTGTCTCCCTACTACAGGAAGGATCACTAGCTGAAAAAGGAAAAAAAGAAAACAAATGCAGCCACCACGTCTAAGCACTGGCATGCTAAAATATATAAACATTTTTGTTCTTGGGAACAGTAAGCCAACAATCAGGGTTGTATACAAGGCTTGTTGATGCTATTTATGTAAGGGTAAGATGGCAGATCAGAATTGATAATAATTAGAATAAAGCTGTGACTGTAGGGCCTGTTTTTTTTTCTTACACATATATTCTGTACCACAATCCCAATGTGTTCATCTTCAGTGTTCATGTTACTGTGCCTCTTCCCAACCATGAGAGTAAAACATAATAGTTTAAATACATAACTATGAATGCTGTTTTATTTGGAAGCAGTTTGTTTATTTTCAGGAAACTTAAAACTGGACTTTTAATTATGCCTCACATGGGGCAGCAGGGTTTGGCAGCATTGCAGAATAACATTATTACTCTGTACCTTTTTTATGCCATCAGTAAAAGACACTCTATATCTATTGATCTAAGATGTGGATATATATTTATATATTTTTTATTATAGCCATTTATAACTCTCTAGCCCTACTGTCTTTGCCCTGCCCCTTTCATTCATTCAATTTTAAGTTTTTATGATACTCATCCGGAATCTAAGTTTAATATAAATCATCATTTCAGTGTGTGGATAACAGTTGACCGGATTTTTGTTTGTGTGGATGCAGTAGGTCCTATTGACATGTGTTTTCACTGCAGGCAAAACAGGTCAAACACAACTGACTTCAGTGCACTTGGGACACAATCCAACTGGTTACCTATTTTACATTACCCAAATGCTGAATGCAGCTCAGACATGTACTCCAGCTATGTGGAAGCAAATGACCCCCCCCCTCCATACTGTTACTTTTACCCTTCATAATAGAGAGGAGACATTTTGTAACATGGTTCCCTTGAACATTGTGTGTGTGTGTGTGTGTGTGTGTGTGTGTGTGTGTGTATATATAATTACCCGCCCACCAGAAACGTATAGCCTTGGTATTTTTAAACTCCCTTGCCCTCCCTGGAAGTACTATATACCGTATTTTTCGCTCCATAAGACGCACTTTTTTCTCCCCAAAGGGCGAGGGGAAAATGTGTGTGCGTCTTATGGAGCGAATCCCTATCGCCCGATGCCCGGAACATGCAGTTTCAGGTCCCGGGCGAATCGTTTTTTGTACATTTAGCCCTGCTAAAGCAGAGCTAAATGTACAGTGGGAGCAGCTGCTCTTTTAATACAAGTGATCTAATCAGATCACTTGTAAAATAAAGCCGTGAAGTCACCATTTTAGATATTATGTAAGGAACGTCTGAGCAATGGAACACGAAAAGTTTTATTTTTTTTAGTAATAGGCTAATTGTGATGTTTTCCATTGAATAAAAATGTGTACTGCTCAACACAGTGCTGTAAACTAGATGCAAAAATCATCCAATATGTGTACCTGGGATGTGTCTAATAATAATAATAAAAATAAAAATAATAAAAATAAAAACAGTACAAACACAGCCTTTTGCATTTAAATGCTTGTGTGAGCAGCTCTGCATGTGTATGTAGAAGGCAGTGTTTGACAATGATGCCTGTCTATGTTGGCCTTTAGAGCAGGGGTAGCTATACTCTCCAGACATCCAGTTGTGGTGAAACTACAAATCCCATTAGGTCTTGCAAGACTCCCATTAGGTCTTGCAAGACAGCCATAGACATTACTTCCAGAGGCAGATGCATGATAGGATTTGTAGTTTCACCTTTTTTTTTCTTTTTTTTTTTT